GTTCATCCAGCCCTGCACCTTGTTGTCTCAACAAAATTGTGGCTTGTTCTTGCTGTTAAGGGGCAGACCGTTTTGGAATGAGCTGGATGAGGAGTAAAAGGCTTCAGTGGTTGTTGGGGAGGGGGTGCCAAATGGCTAGAATTCTCTACCCCCACAAGCTGGCTGAGTGGTACCCAGTGAATATATCTGGGAATAGGCAGGTTTTTAGTGTCTGGCAGGGAGGTAGAGGTTAAGAACAGGGGCCAGCTGCGAATGGCGGGTGAGGAGGGGGGCATGCGGGCTGAGTGGCTGTTCACGTTGCTGTATCACCCGCTGGGTGTGGGGGAGGGGGAGGGCACGAGGTAACGTGTAAGACTGGCCCTGCCAACCATAGGCTTTATACCAAGAGCACCAGATTGCAGAAGCAACCAGGGGCGGGGGGGTTGGGGTTTAAAATGAAATAAATAAATAAGCCAACAACAACGATGCCCAGGGCCCAGGGGTGGGCGGGATGGGGGGTGCAGGGGGGTTGTTCCAGGATTGAAATGTATGGCTGTCCCCATCCACGCCCAGCCTGGCAGTGGGGGCACAGCAACAAAATGCTCCTGAGGGACTGAGTTGCTGCTGTGTTTGCATTGCCCCCGAGTTAATTGATGCAGAGAGACCTGTTTAATGAATTGCTGTAGCCTCCCGTCACTCTCATCAATCTCTCCTGCATTTGGCTGGATGCCACAGATTGTGGGGGTGGAGAGAGATAGAAAGGGCGAGACAGAAGGAAAATGAAAACAGCCACGTCGGAGATCAAATTGGAATGGACACCCTGAATCAAGATGGAAAGGGATTACAGCAAGGGTGAGTCAGCTATAGTAGCGAGCAGCCGTTTACCATGTGCAGGAGATCAGTCAGCTGTGGAACTGGGCGAGGATTCAATTCTGTCTCTCTGTCCCTGACTGGGAGAATTAAACACACACAGAATATCTCCCTTTCTCACTGTGAGGGGTTTGTCTTCACTTCCCCACAGCCCCAACAGGAGCAGAATTCAATCGTTCAGTGGAGCTGATAGAAGTTTATAAAATCATGAGGAGTATAGATAGAGTTAATGGTAGTTATATTTACCCTGGGATGGGGGATTTCAAGACTAGTGGGCATATTTTTAAGGTGAGAGGAGAGAGATTTAAAAAAGACCTGAGGGGCAAATTTTTTACACAGAGGGTGTTTCGCGTGTGGAATGAACTTCCAGAGGAAGTGGTGGATGGGGGTACAATTACAACGTTTAAAAGACATTTGGATAAGTCCATGAATAGGAAAGGTTTGGAGGGATATGGGACAGGAGCGGGCAGGTGGGACTACTTTAGTTTGGGATAATGTTCAGCATGGACTGGTTGGACTGAAGGGTCTGTTTCCGTGCTGTATGTCTTTATGACTCTGTGACTCTATGAGTCTGCTTTGCCTTTCAGCGAGACCATAACTGATCGGATCATCCTCCAAATTCACTTTCCTGCCTTTTCCCTATAACCCTTCATTCCCTCGCTGATTAAAACTCTGTCTATCTCAGCCTTGAATAGATCAAATTTGAAACTGCTATGTTCTGAGAAGGGTCACTCGACCCGAAATATCCACTCTGATTTCTCCCCACAGATGCTGCCAAAGGGTCTATTTCCCTGCTGTATGACTCTCTGACTGTGTGAAGTTTGAATGTGATACGGTTCATTCTGAAACTAGGGTCTCAAATCAGAGCAAAGGAAACTGAGAGCACGAGGTCAAGCTAGTTGGAAAATGAGCAGCTAGGGGCCAAATTAAAAAGTAGAAACAAAAAGGTAATGATTTCTGGATTACTGCCTGAGCCACCAGCAAATTGGCACAAGGTCGACAGATTAAAGAGGTAAATGCCTGGCTCAAGGATTGGTGCAGGAGAAATGGGTTTGAATTCATGGGACATTGGCTCCAGTACTGGGGAAGGGAGGAGCTGTTCTGATGGGACAGTCTCCAACTGAATATACTGGGACCACACTCCTGGCGAATTGCACAACTAAAGCTGTTTATACAAAAACAGAAACTGCTGGAAAAGCTCAGCAGGTCTGGCAGCATCTGTGGAGAAAAAATCAGAGTTAAACGCAAGGGTCCAGTGACCCTTCCTCAGAGCCGTTCTGAGGAAAGGTCACCAGATCTGAAACGTTAACTCTGTTTTTTCCTTCACAGATGCTGCCAACCTGCTGAGCTTTTCCAGCAATTTCTGTTTTTGTTCCTGATTTACAGCCTCTGCAGTGGGGTCTAGGCCCGAAATGTCAGTCTTTCTGCTCCTATGATGCTGCTTGGCCTGCTGTGTTCATCCAGCTCTGCGCCTTGTTGACTCGGATTCTCCAGCATCTGCAGTTCCTACTATCTCTGCAGTTCTGTCGGTTTTCATAAAGTTTTGGACAGGGCTTTGAAATAAATAGTTGGGGGATGGGCTCAGTTGTATGGAAAATTATGGAAAAAGTTAAAGGAGAGCTCAGAAAATGTTATTAAAAAGTTTCCAGAGCAAGCATTAGAGCAGAGAGTATGAAGGGGTCAGGAATCTAACTTCAGGCACATCAGATAATGGGACAATATGAGAAGGGGCCAGTCAATGCAACACTGTGGGTATTGAGGGGGTGGCAACAGTCTGGTGGTGTAATTGCTAGACTGTTAATTCAGTTCTGAGGAAGGGTCACTGAACCGGAAGCGTTAACTCTGATTTCCCTTCACAGATGCTGCCAGACCTGCTGAACTTTTCCAGCAACTTCTGTTTTTGTTATTAATCGAGGGACCCAGTAATGATCAGGGAACCCAAGCTGGAATCCTGCTATGGCAGATAGTGGAATTTGGATTCATTTAAAAATCTGGAATTAAGAGTTTAATGATGACTGTGAAACCAGAACAAAACCCATCTGGTCACTAACATCCTTTAGGGAAAGAAATCTTTTGTCTCTACCAAGTCTGGCCTACACATGGCCCAAAGCAATGTGATTGACTCATATTTGCCCTCTGGGCAATTAGGGATGGGCATTAGATGTTGGCCAAGCCAGTGATGCCTATACGGTGTGAATGAATTTAAAAAGAGTACATGGTATACAAAACATGGGAAATGAGCTTTTAGCGCAGATTGAAATTGGCAGGTTTGATGTTCTGGGTATCACAGAGATGTGGCTGCAACGGAATCAGCGCTGGGAACTATATATCCAAGGATACACATCCTATCGAAAGGATGGGCAGGTGGGGAGAGGGGCAGGGTTACCTTGTTAGAAAGAAATGAATTTAAATCGATAGTAAGAGGCATTATTGGGTCAGAAGGCGTAGAATCTGTGTGGGTAGAGTTCAGGAACCGTAAAGGGAAAATAGACCGTGATGGGAGCTGTGTACAGGCCTCCTAGCAGTAGTCAGGATGTGGGTCAGAAAATAAAGTAGGAGATAGAAAAGGCATGTAAAAAAGGCACTATTACAACCATCATGGGGTACTTCATTGTGCAGATAGACTGGGAAAATCAGGTTGGTAGTGGAACACAAAAAAAGGTATTTGTGGAATGTCTTCAAGATGTATTTTTGGAGCAGCTTATGGTAGACCCCATTAGGAAACAGGCAATACTGAAATTGGTGATGTGTAATGAGGTAGACTTGATTAGGGAGCTGAAGGTGAAGGAACCCCTAGGGGGTCACTGACAATAATATGATA